GAAAAGCAATCCCTGAAGGACACACGCTGCATGGGATCAGGTCTGGGCTTTATGAGAATCCTCTCCTTTGCTTCTGTATTGCATATGGTTTGCTGGCAGAAAGCGCACCAGAGTGTGCTAGTCCTTAGGAGAGCGACTCTTGAAAAAGGAGTAAAGATGATGGCAAAGCTAAATCCCTGATCATAAAAAGCATTTATTTAGTTAGGGGATTTGATCTTTTTTTGTTTGTTTGTAAACTGTTTTTGTTGGGGACAGATAAAAAATTGATATGATGAAATGTGTTGTTTTTCTTTCAAGGAGTCTGTCAATCCAGCACAAGACTTAAAAGATCCTGAGAATTAAAATGCACAATGTACCTCCAAGGTCATCTTGCATATCGGGAATGCTGGCAATGATATCCACAGGGATTGGTTTCCAGTGATAAGTGCTAACTGTTTCTGCTGGCGAGCTGTCTCGAAGGTGGTCAACAACTTAGGAATCCCAGAAACACTTCTGGTCATGGCAGCCTTGGGAGCTGCCTTGCTCTGCAGACCAGAGTTGTCAGTGCATTCTGTTCTGTCCCACGAATAGGAAGGTCCTTCCTTCCTGAATTACTTTGCTTTTAATCCCAAACTCGAGGTGTTCAAACTATGCGCTTGCTTGGAACTTACCATTTTCAGAGCTGCCAAAGAAGCCCTTTTGCAGGTGAAGGAGAAGATGCTTACTTAAGTTAGCACTTTTTGGTTTTAAGGGTCTCTAGTTTTTAGATTTCTAATTAATGGGGAAGTCAGAATTTTTAAAACTAATATCATCTCCCAGTTCTGCTGTCTCTGCCACCAGGTTTGCACCGTGAAAAAGATGGCAATATTCCAGTGGCTTCCTTTTTCCCCTAACCTGACTAGTTCTCATGTATAGAATATCTCCAGGTATCTCATGACAGAGCAAGGCCAAGAATAAAACCAAAGGTCTGCAGAGCACTTACCTGGCCCTGCAGCTCCCTGAAAAAGGTCCTGCGCTTGTACTGAGCTTGTACTGAACCTTAACATCCTCTCTGCAACGCTCGAAAATGTGACATCACGGCGTAGGCGGGTATGCGGGGAGCATCTTTCAGCAGCCCTTCAGAAGCTTCCTTGTGAAGACAGGTGCTGTAAACTGTTTTACAGCTTTGGAAAATTTCCTGTTTGTTTGTTTTGTTTTTAACTTGTTTATGAAAGGTCCATTATTGCACAGTGGCACACCTGGGAAATGGAGCCTGGACTTCCCAGTTATTCTAATTGCTGGATAGCTTTGTCTGATGGGAATTGACCCAGCATACTTTGAAAGATAGTGCTTTGGGATGGCTGAAATACCAGGCTCTTTCTAAGGAGTGAATTGCCGAAGAGCAAATCTAACAAAGGTTAAGGGTTGCTCCGTAGCAGGGTAAGTTTTACTTTTCCCTCCATGTTCCAGTGGGAAGACACTGAAAGCTGTCAAGTTACCTGGGTCTAAACATGGGTAGTGACCTAATTAATGTCAGTTTTGTTGTTGTTGGCAGCATTAGTTTATAGATTGATGAAGATTTTTAAATTTATAGGGTAATATGGTGATTATCATAGCCCTTACAGGCACTACTTCAAGTATTGAAGCTTCGCCTCTATTTTTAGTCCTAAGTAAGTTCCAATCTTGTGTTGCCAAGAAAAAAATAAGAAGAGAAAATCCATTGGAAGCAGTAGGTGAAGTGCTCGAATGGTAGTACCTTTGCTGCTGAAAACCTTCTCCCTTCTTCCACATCACATTCCTAGTCATCAGGCTTTAATATGCCTGTGTCCAGCAAAAGGAACTCCAGTTCATTCAGGTCTTTGCTTTGTAGCCACATGTGCTTGCCATTTCTTAGCTTCTGATTTTGGTGAGCTAAACAGACAATCTTTCTGAAATTATTACTGCAAAGGCTCTGATTATCAGTCCTCTGGTTACTGGAGGGACTATTTAAATTTATGTCATTCTTTCACCACTTTTTCTGGAGAATGGTTGTCAGAACTGGATATGATATTCCCATTGCTATTGCACCTCCTGGGTTTTATTCAGCCAAGGCCTTCGGCCACAGTGTCTTACCCAGCATCTGTGCCCACCTGCTTCCATCACCCTCTGCATTTTTTTTAACATCTGCTTTTTCATAGGACAGAGTGCTACATTCTGAAAAGCACTTTTCTGACTATGGCTAGACTTTGGCTGCAGTGAGATACATTTTTGGCTGCTTTCAGGTTAGACTGCCTTCATGGAGATTTCTTTATCTTTGTTGTTTACTATCACAGCTTGCATCAGCTGGGATCTTCTTGGGAGTCCGGTCTTTTTTTGTGACTTCTAATAACATATTAAATAGTTCAGGCCTGAGAACACATTCTTGTACAAACTGAATAAAAATATACACAACCATTAATGATTTTTCAGTTACAGTCATATTATAGGACCTACTAGTTAGCCAGCTTTAATCACTTTAATGTGCCATGTTGTTTCAGAATCAGTTTAGTTCCCTAATTAACGTGTCATGCAGTAGCCAACTCTAACGTATTACAGAGCTTTTAGTAAATTGCATCAACACTGTCGCTTTAAAAAAAAAAAAATCATTCCATTGTTTTTCCCGGATTGATGGCACAGAAGCAGGCTTATGATTTGATTACTCATACTTTGGAAATACTGGGGGGGGGGGGCTGGCATTTTTCCAGCCCTCTGCAGCTTTCCTGGTTTCCAAAGCCTTATTAAAAATTGATATTGATGGACAAGCTTGCTTTTCAGCTTTCAATGTATGGAACAGTCCCTCGAGAACAGGTTGTATAGCCAACATCTGTGAAGGGGGAGACCTCTGCTCTGCAGCTCGAGATAGTTAAATTACCCATCCCTGTCCCCCAGATAGGAAACAGGGTCAGAGGCGGATGCAAAGCTAGGAGGCTTTCATGAAACCTCATTGCCAGCGAGCACTGAACACCCTGGTGTGACCAGAAACAGCCAAGCAACCCAGGTAGCTCCCTTCTAAACAGAAGAACGCAAAAAGATCTAAAAGTGCAAAATAAAACTTCTTATTCTGTGTGGGACCGGCCAAAGAGTGTGAGGCCCGGCCCTTAACAGTTGCTTGGATGGAAAGGATGTCAAATTTGTGTGCTGCCTTTTATTGTTGCAGCTGCACTTTACTCCTCCTCTGATCTCCGGGCTTGGTTTGCAGTCTTGGTTCCTGCGCATTTGCTGTGCCTTCAGCAGCGCGTTCGCTGGGACGGAAAAGTGCTCAAGCAGTGGCCCTGTCACGTAGCATGCTCCGAGTTATGTAAGCAAGTGTTTCATAGGGTTTTAAAACTACCAGCGCAGAGAAGAGAAAGCACTAAATGAAATGCCAGTGGAGGACAACAATGAATTAGGTCAGCTATTAAATTTTTCATCTCTTGAGTCTGCTCAGGCCCAGCAGCATCCAAAGCAGTATAAATCTGAGAATTCATGGTCTTAAAATGAGTAAGTAATGGATGAAGAGACCATTAGGAGATAGATATACAAGGAGCTGTATTCCTTTACCCCTTTTTATTCTTTTTAAATGCAGCAGAAGGACTTCTGTTGGCAAAGCTGATTGTGCATCCACCTCAGGTTTATCAACCTCCTTTCATATCAAGCTAAACATGAATCATTTGCCAAAAGGGAACTACCTCATAGCAGGGTGGATAATACAGCATGGATGAAAGACATTTGACAAAGTCTGGTGCAACCCAGAGAGGACCAAAATGATTTTATTTAATAAACCTGTACAAATCAGAACAGAAGAAAAGTCCCTTGTCTTACCTTTCCTTCTCTTCCCCTCCTATCACCGCAGTGGTATAATCAAAATTTAAACTACTGTACATGGGCATAGCTCCCTTGCTATCACTGGAGGGATGCTGACTCATACCAGCAGAAAATACGATCCTCATGTTTTATAGTAGGTTTGCTAGTTTTCGGTGATTTCCCCTTGGTTTCAGTGGTTCAAGTTGTTTTCTCAGGACGCTATTGCACTCTTTGATAGCTTAATATATACTAATGATAGGGTAATAATGATATTCTACTACCTGCCTTCTCTTCCTTGACTTTTCATCCTATTGCCCGCTTGTTGAAACTTTCTATCAGCTCTCCAACGGGGAAGAGGAGAAACTGTTTTTCACGCTCTAAGCCTGTTAGCATCGCGATGCAGAACGGGGAGAAAAAGGTTTTCCTTCTGCTTTGGGATTAAAAACAACGGAGATGAGATGCGCAGCGATTTCTGTTACCTTCGTTTAAGCGAGTGAAGTCTGGTGAAGTCCCTCTGTTTGTGTTCCTGGCCATCTGGCACAGGGGGGCTCGGTGCCGTTCGGGCTGGTGCGGACTAGGTGGAGGGAAGCGGAGCCTGCAGGGCCAGCAGCGCGGGGCGGGGGGACGGTGCGTGCAAACAGGCTGCAGATGGGCGAGACGGGCAGCATCCCCAGGCGGTGGCGGAGGAGGCAGGCCTCTCCCATGGCTCTTAGCAACGCCCCTGCTTTGACCCTCCTCATCTGTGAGGGAAATCAGATCAATACACTGTTCTTCAGACCACGATGCTGCAGCGGCAGCGGGGCGTTGTGGCAGCCTTCGTCTCTTAAATTCATCAACGCTTTTCAGTTCGCTGGTCTCTGGATCTCCATCCCTGCATCTCTGCTGAGGAAGAGGCTGACTGCGTCTTTAATCGGATTGCTTGAGCTCCCATGTACAACCTTCTTCTTGTTAGCAAGTATTAGGTAGGCAATTTTAAACTGCTTTTGGATTTGCAGCCAGCTTTAACATTGATCTGAGAACTCTATTGTATTCTCTGTAAACATAGCAGAAGCCTCTCTTTAAAACCTACTCTGTTTTAAACCTTGCTTTTCTTCTGGTTTTGTGGTTGGGCGGGGGGATTTCGTTTTTTTCCTTCCTTTTTTAAAAAAGGTTGTAGCCTATTTGTGCTTTTGGAAAAGGATTTTCCCTCGTTGACCCCTCCCCTGTTCTGCAGAACAGCTATAACCGGTGCCATACAGTTGCTTTCAGTGTTGATGAACATCTGTTCAACCGTCTAACGTATGGGGCAGGCTGCTCACTCTTTTAGTCTTTAATTTTCTGGTGCATACTTCAGTGCTGCGGATCAGGACTCAACCCACTAAGTTCTGCTTTGGTTCCAGAGATGGCTAACAGAGGACCAAGCTATGGCTTAAGCCGAGAAGTTCAGGAAAAGATTGAACAGAAATATGACCCGGAATTAGAGTCTAGGCTGGTGAACTGGATTATTGTACAATGTGGAGAACAGATAGAGCACCCTCCTCCTGGAAGGCAACATTTTCAGACCTGGTTGATGGATGGAACGGTAAGTGTTTTGTCCAGTTACACACTTGCATGGGTCTATATGGAGAGTATCCCTGTTTTCTCTCTTTATCTAGCTAAATTGGTCAGAGCTTATGGCCAGTGCAGAAATATATGCATCTGATTTATTTCCTTTTGACCAGGAATCTTAATCTCAGAAGATAATTATTCTACTAGTGCGCTAGGATTAGCACAGTACTTATGATTCTTATGAGTCATGCACGTTATATATGAGTATGACTCATTCCTTCAGCACCTTTTCTCATTCAGTTAAACAAGATCTGTTTTAAAATCATCTGTATACTTTTCTCCTTAAGAAATAATCAGTGTTGCCAGGGAAAGGTGAAGAAATATAGAAAATTTGCAGGATTGGATTATGTCATAACTGTTTTCTTCTTGGGAGTAATCCTGTAGCTAAAACATTGTATTCCATTGGTTTATTGAACAACAGGCAGATGCTGCTGTTTGCAGTGGGATGTAAGAATACGCTAATCATTGAATCTCTGCCAAAGTGACTTTAACAATATTTCAATTGACATTGCTTATTTTTTTGGCTCGGGCTTGTGGTTTCTTCTCTGTCAGTTGTTACATAACCTTTACCAGTGATTGCTTTGTTGCTTCTAGCAGATTAGGATTTATATGGTCAGGCTATTGCCATCAGTTAATGAAAGCTTTAATGCATTTTTAATATAGTTTGATTATTATCAATTGACTTCTTTGTTTTCAGTTGAAGAAATTGTGTCCCTGACAGAAACTGGCCAGGTCAAAAGCATTTGGCAGTATCATTTCATGTGCAGAAATTGCTTTCCAGTTTGGTGACTACTTTCTAATTTTGTTTCTCCATTTATCTCTCAGCTGTTATGCAAGTTAATAAACAGTTTACATCCAAAGGGAAATGAGCCCATTGCAAAGATCTCTGAATCAAAAATGGCTTTCAAGCAGATGGAACAAATTTCTCAGTTCTTAAAAGCTGCTGAAATCTACGGAGTAAGAACAACAGATATTTTCCAGACAGTGGATTTATGGGAAGGTAAAAATAATAAACTGGAAGTCAGCTTGCAGCCTTCATTTTACTTTGCTTTGATGTGTTACAATAGTCCATTTTGCCTAAGACATATTCTCCAATGTAATTATCTTTTGTTTCTGTTTGCCTTACCTCATTACCATGTTCTTCCAGTGGTGCATTATCTCCTCTGAGGGATTTATAGTGCCCTGAGGGCATAACGGAGCCTTTCCAAGCTCGTGTGTTATCCATGAGCCCATCATTCGAATAGAAATCTGCAGACCTAATAAACCAAATGTTTTCTATGCCAATTATTTCCAAGTAAATAGCTTCTAACAGCAAATACAGAAAACCCTTATTTTCTGATGATGAGATTTTACTGCAGTTTTCAAATCATAAGCAAAGCTTAAATTAGAGCTATAAAATGCATTCCCAGGAGCATAAATGCCTCTGTGGAGCTTATGAGCAGCGAGAAGCAAAACTCACTGCTAACACAGTGTTAGCTGAGCATCTCTCGCTAAGGATACAGTCTTTTCAGAGAGGTCACTATGGCAACAGCAAAAAAATTCAGTGTCCCTGTGGTTTTGCAGTAACCCAGGTGAAAGCTATCTCCATCCCATGCTCGAAGTGGAAACTGCACGTTCTAGTTCCTGAAGAGCTGCGTCATTTGTGTGTTCGTACGGCTGTTTATGCCCACTTCCGTGGTAATGCGTCTCTTCCTGGTGCTCTAACCAAATATGCGCTATACCCTGCATCCCTCTGGGCAAGGGGACGCCGAACGCTTTGTGTGAGCGCTCAAAACAAGGACAGCTGCAGGGTAGCGAAAGGGTCAAAAATCTGCCATGAGAATGAAACAGCGGAAAGAGGAAGGCAATCCATTGAGATAGCTGGTTTGTGTAGGAACACACATGGAGCAAAAAAAGTGGGACCTGTTTTCACAGGCTGTTGGGATGTGTGGAAGAGATCGCTCCTCTGAAGGGCAGTTCAAGGAATGAAAGCCTGGGAAGCTCTTTGTGGGTAGGTTGGAAGGGAAGGATATACCAACAGCTGGAGTTACTGGGACCTGTGATGTTCTCAGGCTGCCAGATTTGCTTGACAGGTCCTTCCTTTGGGCACACGGGCAGGATTGTTCCTTCCAGTTCAGTCTTTAGTGTTTCATCCAATCTACCTCTAAATGTCTTAAATGAAGGGATCTTCACTTCCCTAGAGTAACACCCTTCCCCCTCCCCTCAGCCTAGCAGGCTGTTGAAAGAAGCTCCATCTATCTTGTAAGGGATGATAATAGCTCATTTCAGATGCTGTTCTTCTCAGTCTTTTGCATCTCATAATGGCTTCACACCACACAAATGAAAGTTTGGTACATTGATCCTTACGATGAAAAGGACTTGCTTTGAAGACAAAAAGCTCCTAATGATGGTGGCTCTCTTCTCATTTCTCTTCCTTTCACTCATCACCTTTTCTCAACAGATGTGAGGAAAAAAAGGCTGGTAACTGCCAGAGGACAGAAGTCAAAACACAGCTCACAACCTAGGAGGGAGACATTCAAGACTTTTCTCCACTGTTATTTTAGGACTTCCCAAACCTGAGCTGTGTCTCCTCACTTTCCCACTCCCTTTTCATCCCTCCGGCTGCTCATTTTGGTGCTGAGATGGAACAGTATGTCTCTCTGGCAGCGAGTCGCTGCAAGCTTTTTGTGTCTAACCGTAACTCTGACCTCTAGCATCTGTGCTGCTTCGGGGCTGAATTGTCTGAACCGGGGTGCATTAGCTGCATAGAAAGGACTATTTCATCATTACAGCACTCCTACACTTCACGCCATAACCTCTTTAGAAAGAGAGGAGATGTCACTGTGTGTTTGCAGGGAAAGAAGAGTATGACTGAAAACCAGCTTTTGTTTGGCACTGATTGTTTTCCGAGAGCTTTTGCTTTGTAATGATTAATGAAAATGTTTTAGGATGCAATATGCTGCTGGCTGTTTCAAACTCACTCAGTCCATCTGGTGCATTCTTCTTCACCTCTGTAACTTCTTGGTCGCGGAGAAGCGTCACCTCTCTTTTGGTCCCTTCTTACATAAATGCACCGTGCTGAGCAGCTTTCCCTCATCCATGCCCAGCATGCTGTGTTCACCGCTTTTTACAGGTACCTCCCCAGTATATTCCCAGGCAGGCAAGAGGCAGCTGTCCCTCTGGGTACAGCCTTTACACAAAAGCATTTCAGGAGCACTATGCAGAGCAGTTCTTCGTCTTTGGGTTTGGACCTTCCCCTTTCTGGACTTGGAGAAGAAGGCCTTCCCGCCAGCTTTCCTCCAAAGAGAAAGGCTTTCCATAAGAAGTCACCAGAGGCCCTTTCCTCCTTGTTTGGGCAGTGCAAGGTCCTCTACGAGGCTGGGCTGTCCAAAGCACGCTGCAGAGGAGGCTGAGGATGCAGAAGAAATGCCATCGATCCCCGCAGCGCCATTCAGGGAGGCTGAGGCTGGGGGCCGGGCAGGCGGCCCACGCGGACGGCCGTGAGCCCGGAGCTGCAGGAAGGCACCGACTGCAGTCTTCTGCAACGGCAGCATCCAGACTGGCTTCAGAGGGTGCCCATTATCCCTTCTGTCAGGCGGCTGCAGCGTTAGGTGACTTTCTCGGTGGAAATTTAAAATTTTTCACAGCCCCTTTTTATGCTGGCCAGGGAGCCCCTTGTCCCCCTTTGCTGGAAGAAGGCAAATGCCACCAGACCACGCGGATTTGTGGGCCTTCCCTCACCCGTGGCACCCCCCATACACAGCAAAGAGGCTCTGCAAAGCAGGGCCGTGGCCGTGGCTTTGTTTCGGCACGTTTTTTTTCCCCCGCCAGCCTCTCCCGCTCGCCGCTGACAAAGCAAGCGGAGCCCTGGGGGGCTGCCCGACGGCTCCGCGCGGCCGGCGGTCAGACTCGGCTGCCCCTCTTGTTGTTTCTTCCCCTTTTTCCTGCCCTCGCCCTCGTTATTCGGCTCATTCACTTTTAAATCCTCCTTCGCGTCCCCCT